CTTTCTTGGAGACAGGGCTTCTCTGTGTAACAGCATTGGCTGTCCTGGAACTAGTTCTGTAGACCAGACTGGCCTCAAACTCAGAGATCCGACTGCCCCTGCCTCCTAAGTGCTGTGAATAAAGGTGTGTGCCACCACTGCCCGACTAGACAAATTTCAGCAATAAATTTACACTTGGGAGGATTTCAAGTTGAGAGCTGAGGTCAACCACATTGTGAGATCCTGTCTCAAATGAAACCATAGGACTAGTCTGGTTCATGTCAGTAGACATGGTGGCATTGAGGTAGGTAAAGGCCTTGCTGAAATGTACTTCAGGGGAAGCAACTTTAGTTGTTACAGTATGTTTACTGTACAACTCACCAACATTTTACACTTATCGTCTTAAAATGTGATGTCACTCTTTAGTATTCTGTAGCTAAAATGCCTAAAACATACTGTTATTGGTAAATATATTTAAGCCTGGGTTTTAGATTTCCCTTTGGCAGTTGAAGTAACTAATCCCTAATTATTGCAGTCTGAAAATAACCCCAAACTTAACTCATAAGATCTTCTAATACATCAAGAAAAAAAACTTTGCCATGCCCTCTGACATTTTAGCAATCTAAATTTAGCCCTTCTCCTACTAAGAGAATCATCTGTGTAATGCAAAGCTGGAGTTTATCAAGAAAGTTTTATTTGACCTGTAAACATTAGAGTGAATAGGAAAAGGGCAGCATACACCTAAGACACAGGTGTAGGCTTCTTAAAAAGGGAATTTTGTGAGTCTCAGTGGGGATTCAGAGTGCCTCTTTCACATGTTAAATCGATTCAAGGAGACCAAGCTGGCTTTCAAATGGCAATCTTCCCACAGCTTATCCAGATGCTGTGGTTATTGTATACATACATCATCACACATGGCTTACAGTTCAAACTTGCAGACCCATGTACAGCCCCAGGAAACACCTATAAATTTGATCAGCATCTTCTCAACCACAAAAATTTGTTCACTTACAGTGTCTTATTTTCCAGGGCTGACAAGATGGTTCAGAGATTAAGGGCAGTGTCTGTTCTTCTAGGGAACCCTGGTTCAATTCCCAACAACCACATGGCAGCTCACAACTATCTGTAACTCCAGTTCCAAGGGATCTGACACCCTCACACACATATGTGCAGGCAAAACACAAATGCACATGAAAATAAGGAATCATGTCTTAATTTTTTAAGTTTTTAAAGCAGTTCCCACAGACAAGTTTTACTTCAGAGGGGCAAATTTGTGTCCTTATTCTGTGGGTTATGGGTTTTTTCCTGGGGGGGGGTAGCTAATGGTAACACTTTCATTCTCAATAATCTCCAGCTCAAAGTCTGTAAATACACGTGTCAAGAGATCTGTATTGACTTACACACCCTGCCTACAATGTAACTAACCTGACAGGGTTGGGTGCAAATTATCATTAAAAGTTCATGAAATACTGAAGTAACACTCCTAAACATGCCAGAAAAAAACCTCTGAAAGTATAGCCACTTTCTCCTGTTATTCTAACTTACAGCAAGTTGAGTTCCTCTTAAAATAATTACTATTCATAATCAACATGGACCCAGCAGCTGTAAAAGAAATTTGCTCATGCCAACACGAAGAACCTATCCAAACCATCTAACTCTGTAGATGATTAATACTGTAATGGCATCGCAGTGAAGTTTCCTCAGTTTTATGGCAGAGCTCCCTCTAGCGGCCAAATGATTTTCCCTAAACACTGCAACATTACAGCTGTTTATGTGTCTCAATTCACAGATTCCTTTGTGTTGATATAGCTTACAATTACTGTACATTTTATGGTACAGATCCAGATGTCTAACTGCTGCCTCTATCTTATTTTTAAAGAACCTCACAAAAGCCACGCATGACTTTTCTTTCCTCTGCAACCCACTATTAAAATGTAGATAGATAGTTGCAGCTTAGTGGTAAAAAGCACTGACCCAGCATGAGGCCCTGGGTTCAAATCCTCAGCACACACTAAAGTATACTCTGAATCTGAAGGTTTCTGGAATTAACTTGTACAGAACTCTTCTATCCTATTTTCTGTGTACTGCAAAACAAGAAAATGTCCTCCCTTTGGTCCCTACAAAACACAATCAAATTCTGGATTATTAAACAGAACTTTCAAAATTAAAAACAAAATAGCACTGTGAAATTTTAAGCATGGTAGTGCTAGTTTAAGAAATATGCTGTCAACTTTTTTGCTCTAAAGCAAAAAAAAATTTTACAAAATTTACTCAACAATCACAGTAAAACTTATCTCTTAAGTTCACTGCAATTTTAATCTTTCTCGATGAGAAACCAGAACAGGCAAGGTCTCTTAAGAATGAATACGGATTGGATAGATGGCTGTTAAGAGCTGGCACTGCTTTTCCAGAGGACTCAGGTTCAGATTCCCAGTACCCAGCAACTTCTAGTCTCCAGTTCTAGGGGAATCCAGCATTTCCTTCCGGTATCCAAAAGCATCACTCACACAGCACACTTATATACAGGCCAAACACTCAAACACCTTAAAAAAAAAAACCCTATCCTTAGGAACACTGTACTACGTATTGTGGGTGGGTAAACATTCCCTTCCATAGAGTAAGATAGACTACATAGGAACAGAATATACTGTGTGGGTGATACCTTTTCTCCTGGTACCTGATTCAGTCTAAAAGGATGGAGAACTTAAATCTCAATAAGGGTTCGAAAGTAACAGCTTTTTATTCACCCCCCAAAATTACATATAGCAGCATTAATCCTCTGCAGTACTAGTACAATTCTACATACAACTCCTTGCCCACCCTGAAGAGATTTGGGATTCACAGTTGTTCATACTTTACATGAAGAGTTTATCACATATAGCATCTATATGTGTGTATGTATATATACACATACATACATACCTTCAATAATGCCTATGCAACTTTGCAATAAGAGTGTATTAGTATATCTACTGGCAAACTTGTGACAACTAATTATGAAGGTATAATGCTGGCCAGATTTTACATTTAATTGGTTCAAAAAAAATCCTGGTATTCAGAATTATGGATTGTCAATCTGTCTTCAAACCATGATAGAAATAAGCCACAAGTAGTTGTTACAACAGAACTCACTCTAAAACTTTCTTTCCTTTTAATACTATTGAAAATACATCTTTTATTTCATTTGTAATTTAACTACAAATTTTATACACAAAGCAAAAAGGCAAACATCAAAAATTGACCTTGACCACAGAAAAACAGCACCAGCCCTACAAAAAGCATGGTTCATAGACAAAACTAAGAAAAGCTGGTCTTAGAATTTATCATTCAACTCCAGAATTAAAATGGGTGGATTATAAACATTCAAAATTAATAAAAAACTGGGGAGGGCACTGCAAGAACAATTATTCCAAACTTTAGTTCTTAAAATTCAGATCCCAAACTAAGTATCAGAAAAATATTTCTTACCTTTGTCTCCAGTAGGATGAGCTGAACAGCAAGTTGAGTTATTCAACCAGATGTTATGCAAAATACTTGCTTAAAGAGATTTAAGTGCTTTCTTGGTTAGAAAAACTAATCATGGGGTCCCTACAATATCCTAAGGGAACAGAGAAAGGGGGGCGGAAATCAAGGTATTTTTACTTCCAAAATGGTATTGTCATTATGGATACAGGCCTATAAGACTAAAAACTTGCTGCATGTATCTTTCAGATACTGCTTCTCTAGTGTTCAAACCCTTGCCCATAAGGCAAATACTTTGCTCATTTCAATATAGAGCTCAACTATTTAAAACAGATTACCTTGAACAGAGGCCATTTCTTGGTTCTGTTTCCAAAGCACTCAAAATAGATCACTTTTGCACTCAGTTCACAATTGCTTTTCTGTTATTTTAAGAAGTTGGGCATAATGAATGGTTCATTATCCATAATCCCAGAATCTGGAAACTACATAGCTTTGGAGTTTGAGCCCAGCCTGAGCTACTGAATTCTAGAAACATCTGGACCAGAGTAGGGCCATCTGGAGGAAAACCATAACCCACACACCATTTGAGAATTCCCCTGATCATACAATGTACTTAAAAACATACTCATATTTTTGAATTCTGTTACTACAGCTACCTTAATGAGTCTACACTAAGTACCTAAAGTGAAATCCTGGTTTTGAACTTAGTTATCATATTCTCTTCCAGGACAGTCTTTAAAGTTCATTAAAACATGTAGGTTGAGTGACCTCAAAATTCTTTAAGCCCATTTCACTATTGAGACTCCCAGTCTCCCCAAATTTTATCTTGTATCAGCCTGCAACCCAAGGGAAAAGTTAAACATCTAGCTGTTTGTATTGGGATGCTGAAGAGTGTTTTGGTCATTCTAACAAAGAAATCACTTCCATATTCCATTCCAAGCAAGATGAAAATTCAGCTTCACAGGGGCTATCAGAGGTACAACAGCAGACTAAGATAATTGTTTATTTAACACAGAACACCAAGTTTGGCGACAGAATAGTCTTTATGGATGAAAAGGTTTACAAGACATTGGTTCACCCAGTAAGCAGTTAATCTGCCAGCATACTGTCCACAATTCAAAAAGATCTGTGTTGCATTCTAATATCCCTGCTAACATTAATACTGAATTAGTTTCACCAAGGATCTCAATGGCTACCTCTAGGCTAATATCAAAACTTACTAGCTATCAACCAACTTTGTACAAAAACCTATTATGTCTACAGTATTACCAAAATAAACAGCACCTGTAAGTTCGTAATCACTTTAGCAAAATATGAATGCTTAATTTCCAGACTATTACCCCTACACAATTGCACTACATCCATGACTGCCTCATACTCAGCTTATTATCCCCTCAAGACTTCCACAACAGTAAGAGAGTCATTATCATTTATTGGATTAGAATCTTTAATTTACTAACACATAAACAAGAATCAGAATATTATCAATTTAAAGAAATAACTGATATACTAGTTACCCAGTAAAATTTTACATGAAGAGGAAAAAGGACAACCATGCATCGTTTTTTAAAAAATGTTTATTTTTCAAAGAAAAACGGCAATAGCCAATTGGAAACCTACTTATTCTTCAACTCCAATTTTGTTTTCTTTAAATTTAGAAGTGACTTACTGATTTACTATTTTAAACAAACCCCCCCTTTCCCCTTTAAATGTTTACCATCTACTCGTGCTGAATCCTTCCAAGGAGATTGCTCCAGCGTATTATCTCCAGGTCCTCGCTTTGCTCCTTTTACCAAAAAATGCAAAACACATTCCATCGTGCATCTTAAGGGCTCCAATCGTCAAAAATAGGAAAAAACTCTTTGGAATAGCCAATTAAGTTGAATGAAAAAAAAAATCCACACGAATGCGGTTTGGTTGGGGCAGGAAGGAATCCACTCCTATGTTCCTGGTAATCTGATCCCGCTCCATGAATCCTGGTAATTCATCCTCCCTATCCTATCCACATTATGATTTGAATCCAATGATCCAGCTCCAAGGATTGGGATCCAGTGAGCCCTCTCCAATCCAAACCTTTATAACCAGCAAAACCAAAAAAGAGGAGGCAAAATGTTAGATACTGTAATCAAAAAAGGTTTCTGGGGAATGATGAGTTATGTCTGTCATCAGTTTAACAGATGTACATCAATAACTATCAAATTCCCCAAAACAAGTTTCTGTATGGTGTTTAGATAAACTTTAGAAACTTAATCATTATAGAGACTAACAGGAAGAAGCAATTTATATTTACAGTTCAACTGATAATGCCAACACTTGTTACTGTACAGGTATCACAGGTTTTGTGGTTGCAAGTTATGTAATTGAAGTTTACTGGTATTGCTACCCACCTAAGTCTAAACTAAATCTATTGCTCTCATCTGCAATTTAGCTTGTAAATTAAAGTGTATTAAACATGAGTCAATTATGAATATTAAAAGGGAAGGTGAGACTTATAAAGTACTCCCAACTAGATATCTACACTAATACGTTGGAATTCTATTTTGCTGTCATTGTCTTTAAAAAATAAAATAACAACGCTCTATCAGTCACACAGAGGACATGCAGATTTAGCAGTATTGATATTATACTCTGTTTGGAAATAGACACCCTGTACCCACATGTACACCAACAGCAGGCCACACATTAACAGTTGTAACTAAGCACTGTGACAAATTAGCCATTCTTCCCACTTTAGTCCCTATTAAAACAAAAAGGGGGGGAAGGGAGCAAATAATTGTTACAAAATGGGCAATTCTGCCACAATTGCCAAGGTTTAAAAAGCAAAGCAATTGTAGCTAAAGATAACTGCATGTTTACAAGTGTCTTAAGGTAGATAAAAATTTTAACCCTTGTCTTTTAGTATAAGGTCAATACTGCCAATTTCATCTGTGACAATAGCACTTGGAGTCATACCATTGCCTCCATTATTGATCTGATCCTCCTCAATCCTCCTTTTGACAATCCTAAAATGATTGAAATGTGCTCCACAATCCTTAATCCAAAGCATTCTTAATCCATCTCTTCAGATATGTCTACAGAAAGACACATGAAAAGCAAGATAAACATAAGAACTTCCCCAAGTAAGATAACCACAAACATCCCCAACATCCCATTTCACACAAACCAGAGCAGAATAGACATTTACACAATATCACAGTCTGAAGAGCATGGAAATTAACTAAATTTAAACAATCCTGTCTATGACATCACTTAAAATACAATTTACCAGACATGAGGGGAATGTAGATGATAGGAGCAAGGGGATATTACACAAGAATGCAATTCAACACTTTAGCCCATTCTGAACAAAACAGCTTGAATTAAAAAAATGAAAAGATTGTACTGAGTAAAGGAAAACTGTATACAACATGGGTTCTACAAAAAGTGTCACCAATCATCTTATGTACGAGAGCGAGATCTGCTATGACGGGGAGAATAGCGTGGTGATCCTCTGCTTCTCCTTGGGGAGTAACTGCGACTCCTGCTGTTGCTTCTGCTACGGCTTCTGCTACGACTACGGCTTCGAGATCGAGATCTTCCATAACTTGGACTTCTGGGCCCATCAACTTTAACCCGGATGTAGGCAGTTTCTCCCTATTGGATAGACAGAACTTTCCATTGAAAGATCTAAGCTTTCACCTGTCTTCAGACATGCTGAATGACTACAAAGACAGACAGACCAGGTCTCTGGTAATTTACTTGGATACCCTTGCCTGTATCCTTACCTTCCAAGTCCACTGTTAAGAACACTGTATCCAATTCTGGCCAAAGAAAAGAATAAGTGTATAACCTACCTCATGAGATCTAAACTTAGTGTTATCCAGTTTTCGAACTGCATAGGTCATATCTTCTTTCCGTACAAACTCCACGACACCAGTGCCATCTCGGTAAACATCAGCATAACATACATCACCTGCTTCACGCATGTGATCCTTTAAATCCTGCCAGCTTCCACTCGGAGGCAGTCCTGAAAAAGTGATTTCCCGCTACTTAATGCTAATCACCCAGTTCCACATTCAACGTGTAATGTACATCAGAACGAGGATTATTTTAAAATACTGAATGATTGTACTTAAGTGTTTCCAGGTAAAGAGCTGGTAAGTCTGAGATCCACAGTCCAAACTTATTTGTAAAGGATCTTCATAGGCTAGCACTGCAACCTAATTTGGGTAAATCACCGCCACAGTAATCTTCATTTACTAAATTCACCCCCAGAAGTAAATTTAAAAGAAAAAAAAAAAGGAGGGGGGGGAAGAAAACCCAAACACCAAAACTTGGAAGTCGTCAAACCAGTCTCACGGGAAGGACTTTAAACCCCACACGGCGTCAACTCACCAGAGACAACCACTCTGTTTTCGGAGCGCCTGGATGGCGGGCCGTAGCGGCCTCTCGGAGCTCCGCCGCCTCCACCCCCGCCGCCGCCTCGGCCGGTACCGCGGCCGCTCCGTGGAAACTCGACCCGCAGACGGTAGCCGTCGTAATCGTAGCCGTCGCGACCGTACACCGCATCTTCCGCGTCTCTGCGTGACCACAGAAAGCAGAGGGGATGAGGACGGGGACCGGCCGGCGAGGCTCCGGTCGCCCGGGGAGCCGCGGACGGCGCACATGCGCACCCACGGTGCCGGAGCCCACATGCGCTGCATAATGGGCCCGGCCCCTCCCCCACCCGGAGACACGCCGGGCAGACTCCCGACCACCGCGCCAGCCCTCGGCGCCTCAGTTTCCCGCTCCGGGGCTGCGCATGGGCTCTGGGGGACGTCCGAGGCGGCCAGCCACCGGAGACAACACGCCGACTCGGCTCCTTACTCGGCTCCTGCAGGGGCGATAGCGCCTCGCTCCCGGCCTCGGAGCCCCTCCTTCCCCCCCATTATGTCCAGGCCTCAGAGCCTTCCCCAACTACTCCAGCCTATCTCCTCAAGGCCGCAAGCCCCACGCTGCCTCACCGCGGGTCCTCGAACTCAACGAAGGCGAAGGGCGGTCCCCCGCGGCGGTTCTTCAGGTCGATGTCGCGGATGGCGCCGTATTTGTAAAACACGTCCTCAATGTCCTTGGTTCGGATGTCTGGAGGTAGGTTACCCACGTAGATGCGGCAGTCGTTGTTCCCTGCCGGGCCACGGATCACACCACCTCCTGACATGGCGGCGAGGAAAAGCGCGGACTCGAGGAGAGGCCTTCCCACCAAGCCTAGCGTACGGCAGAGCGAGCCCTCAGCGGCACCACGTCTCCCGCGGCCCGTCCAAAATGGCGCCTTTATCAGCCCGGCGCACTGATATGGGGGGGGAGGGGGAGGAAGAGAAGCCGGAGGAAGCGGCTATTCCATCCCAGTACGCACGCGCGCGGGCGTAACGGGCGCTGAGAGGTACGCTCGCGCACGCGCGACGTCACCCTCCGCCCGAAGGGGAAAAAGTCCCTCGCGTCCTGGGCTTGTGGAACGAGAGGCTCAGGGAGGCGGTCAGACATCCGGTAAAAAATCACGTTCTCTGGCTAAAGGGGCCGTTAGTCCCGCCTGAGCCAAGGATAGTCTGTCTCCTCGGGAGTAAACCCTGTTTGAAAGCCACTCGGCGCTTTGAAAGGATCTGATGAAACCAGCCTGCACCCGTGTCCCGCCATGCTCCGCGGTGGTAACGGCCTTTGGCGGGAAAGGCGCCGGGGGCGGAGCCAGATGATGCTGAGCTGTTGCTCCGGAAACCTGGGCATCTTCAGAGCTGCTGCTCGGCCAGCGGAATGGCAGGTGATTCGTTTCAGAGCTTGGGCGGAGCTGTGTCTTGTGCTTCTACGAATCTGCGGTGGGCTCCATTTTTAAAAGTGTCTAGGCGGATCCTTCACAACTTTCCGAATATACCGTGCCTTCAGTTTTTCTTTTCCTTCTTTCAAAGGATGGGGAAGGAAAAGTAATAGATGCGATGCGAGGGCTGTAACTGCTAGAGACAACGGTTACATGTAACTAGGGAGATAAGATTTTTTTCATTTTTTCTTTTTTTGCAGATTGTCTGAAATCAGGATATTTATTGGATACCACGGTTTTGCTTCTTTGTAATTACGGGAATGGAATTTAGGGCCTTGTATGTGAAATCATACAGGTTTTCAGTGTTGTTAATGAATTCGAATTGGAATAAAAGCAAAACCAAGCTGAACTTGGTAACTTATGGCTTCAGTTTCGTCACTCTGGAAACTGAGGCAGGAGGATCCTAGTCTGTGATACACAGTTTTAGGTCAGCCAGGGCCATATAGGGAAACCCTTTAGAATTGTTTTTAAGATTACTTTTTTGTGCATTGGTGTTTTGCCATTGGTGTTGGGTTCCCAGGAACAGAAATTACACACAGTTGTGAGCTACTGGGAATTGAACCTGGGTCCTCTGCAAGAGCAGTCAGCGCTCTTTTGGTGTTTTGTTTTTGTTTTTTTTCGAGACAGGGTTTCTCTCTATGGCTTTGGAGCCTGTCCTGGGACTGGCTCTGTAGTCCAGGCTGGCTTGGAACTCACAGATATCCGCCTGCCTCTGCCTCCCCAGTGCTGGGATTAAAGGAGTGCGCCACCAACACCCGGCCCAATCAGGGCTCTTAAACACTGAGCCATCTCTCCGGCCCCCGAAACCCTTTAAATTAAAAAATTGGAAAAAAGAAAGTCAAAGCCTTTTCTGTTGTTGTTGTTATTTTTGTATTTTGACACGGTTTCTCTGTAGCCCAGACTGTCTAGGATCTCCATCTTTATTTAGACCAGTCTGGCCTGGATCTCAGAGCCACCTGCCCCTGCCTTCTGAGTGCTGGGGGGATTAAAGGCGTGGACCACCATGGGGGGGCAGAGCCTTTCATATTCAAAGGCAGAGCCTTTCATATTCAAAGTATACATAAACAGCCAGAGGTGGTGGCACGCCTTTAAATCCCAGCATTGTGATAAACAGAACCTCCTAGTTCCAGGCCAGCCAAAGCTACAGAGACCCTGACTCAAAAATAAGCTAAATCAGATCCCCCACTGATTTTAAGGGTGGTTTTCTGCACTATCACTTTTAGTTTTAAATTTATTTATTTTGGTTTTTTGAGACAGGGTTTCTCTGTATTGTTTTGGACTCTGTCCTGGAACTCTCTCGGTAGACCAAGCTGGTCTCGAAATCACAGAGATCTGCCTGTCTCTGCCTCCCGAGTGCTGGGATTAAAGGTGAGAGCCACCACCGCGCGGGTAGTTTTAAATTTTTTATTATGTTGCCAGGTGTTGGTTAATGCCAGCACTCAAGGCAGAGGCAGGCGGATCTCTGTAGTTTGATGCCAACCTGGTCTACAGAGCAAGTTCCAGGACAGCCTCCAAAACAATACAGAGAAACCCTGTCTCGAAAAAAACAAATATTTACATATACATATATATATGTGTGTGTATATATATATATAGTGCATATTTTGTATTGGAGTGGTGGCTGGTACCTGTGAAAGTCAGAAAATAAGTCACTTCACTCCACCCCCAACCGAGTGAGCCCCAGAGATCAAGCTGTCAGATTTTTGGAGAGCACCTTTACCGGATGAGCCATCCTGCTGCCCCTTTACATTATCGTTTATTTTCAACAGTCCAAGAATGTAAGGCTGCTTAAAATGAAACCATAACTATTAAGACAGGCTGAAGAAATCAAGGGCGGTGAGAGTGGGGGAGGGGCAGACGTGATGAAGTGGATGTGGTTTATACACAAAAAGCTGAAGTGAGGCCCTGTTGAGTCCCTGGGAGATCAACTGCAAATTTGACTAGTCTCCTACAATTCACAGTGTAGAAAGGAACACAGTATATTCAAAATTTTAAATGACTTTGATACAAATAAATAGTTTGGGAAAGGACAGGTTTTTGTTAGTCATAAAAGCTAGTTGAATTTTATAGCAAGACATGGTAGCCCACATCTGTAATCCCAGCCCTCAGGAGTTTAATGAGGAAGATAATGGGCTCATAAACAACAAAGAAAAATGTTTAGTAAATGTCTTAGTGAAATACAAACGCAATCTGAAATGATCAAAGATGCTTGTTGAAATGTTGGGGAAAGTGGGGGTTCTTGTTTGGTTTTGAGTCAGGGTCTCCTGTAGCTTAGGCTGCTGTTTAACTTCCCCGTGCTAGCCCTCCTACCTGCCTGAAATGTTTGTTAAATCCTTAAACTATGTGTGGGTGGCCCTGGGGAAGTTGAAGCGGGAAGATAAGGAGTTCAATGTCATCTCTACTATGTTTCCAGCTCAAGGCTGGGCTAATCTACCTACGGGAGACATGATTCAAAGGTGTGGTGAGGCATGCTCTTAATCCTAGCACTCATGAAGCAGAGGAGGATATGAGTTTGAGGCCAGAACGTCTATGTTGTGAGTTCAGGACAGCCAGGGCTGTTAAGAGAGACCCTGTCAGCCGGGCGTTGGTGGCGCACGCCTTTGATCCCAGCACTCGGGAGGCAGAGGCAGGTGGATCTCTGTGAGTTCGAGGCCAGCCTGGTCTACAGAGTGAGTTCCAGGACAGTCTCCAAAGCCACAGAGAAACCCTGTCTCGAAAAACCAAAAAAAAAAAAAGAGAGACCCTGTCTTGAAGGAGAAAAAAAAGAACAAAAAAAGATGAGGGTGGGGTCCTCTGGTTTGGTTTGTTTTTTCCAGACAGGGTTTCTCTGTGTAACAACCCTGCCTGTCCTAGAACTCACTCTGTAGACCAGGTTGTAGAAATCTGCCTGCCTCTGCTAGGATTTAAGGTGCACCACCACTGCCCCACTGGTCCTATGTACTTGTATAACCAGCAAAATTGTTACTTAGCACAGATCCATCATAGAAATTGATGTGTCTGAGAGTAAATTGAATATAGCTTTCCTGGATTGTTGACCTCTCTGGTGATAGCTTTTTTTTTTTTTTTTTTTTTTTTTTTTTTGGTTTTTCCAGACAGGGTTTCTCTGTGGCTTTGGAGGCTGTCCTGGAACTGGCTCTGTAGACCAGGCTGGCCTCGAACTCACAGAGATCCGCCTGCCTCTGCCTCCCGAGTGCTGGGATCAAAGGCGTGCGCCACCAACGCCCGGCGATAGCTATTATTTTTACTATTAAGTAAAAAGACACAAAGTTCTAAATGCTTGACTGCTAACTTCCAGGAAAAATTGGTTTGGTCTACTTGTTTTAGGGATACATATTTTCAGAAAATGAAACAGTATGTATCTTTTTATTTAATTTATATGTCTCTCATTTTCCCTAGTAAAAATACGTTAAAGATACTTTTCTCCTGTAACTTCTTTATCACCAGTAAATTTTCCATTAAGGTGACTATTGATTACTTACTTTTTTGAAAAATGTGGAACAATGAGCAGAATGCTGTCTCCATGGAAACTTCTTGTTGCTGTCAGTAGGATTGTTTTTCATTTCACAGACAATAAAAGCCACTTTTAAAGCCTAACTAAAATATCTAATAATACTGTTATCATAATTTTATTCTAGGAGTCACTTCCTTTATTCTTTGAACCCCCCCCCCGTTTTCTGAGAAAGGGGCTGAGTTGTTCCATTATTGATAACAAAATATGGTTTTGAAAAAAAAACTTCCTGAAATTATGTTACAGAAAGATTGTCTTCATATGATTTCTTCCTATTATAGCTCCTTTCTCCTCTTCCTCTTGTCTTGTAAGGTAAAAAAAAAACAATTCAAGTTGAATTCTTCCTAGCTGAATAAAGTACTTCTTTCTGTTTTTTGGTTGCTTGGTTGGTTGATCAAGACAGGGTTTCTCTGTGTAGATTTGGAGCCTGTTCTGGAATTCGCTCTGTAGACCAGGCTGGCATCAAACTCAGAGATCCGCCTGCCTCTGCCTCCCAAGTGCTGGAATTAAAAGTGTGCACCACCACCACCCAGCTTCTTTTTCTTTTTAAGATTTATTTTTGTTTTTAATTTTGTGTGTATATGTGTCTGTATTTGTGCATGCACAAGAACCAGTGCCTATGGAGACCAAAAGAGGGCATTGGAGCCGCTGAAACTGGAGTTGCAGGAGATTGTGAGCTACTGGGAACTGAACATGGATCTTGTAGCCACTGAGCCATTTCTCCAGCCCCTGCTTTTTCTTTTTTTATGGTTTTTTTTTTTTTAACTGGGTCTTAAACTAGACCATGCTGACCTCTGCCTCCCAGGTGCTGGGATTAAAGGTGTGCACCACATACTCTTAGCTAGATTTATTTTATGTGTATGGGAGTTTTATACCGTATTGTGCAGTGCCATTGGGTGCCAGAAGAGGGCATTGGGTCCCCTAGAACTAGAGTTAACAACTGAGTGAACTGTGTTCATGTGGGTACTGGGATTGAACCAGGATCCTTTGGA